TCAACAGTATTAAATTGTCAGGGCCTGAAGGAAAGGCAGCTCTTCTAAACTAAACCAACAGATGCTGTGTAAGCTTTAAACACTGTTAAATTAAAGAATTTGGTGTTCCTGGTGAACCTGTTCAGTGCTGAGAAGCTCTATAAACCATAGGCCATGTGCGGTGGTGAATAAATTCCCCATTCCCTTCACTGGGAAGCGTCCCAAGCAGGCAGCCTTGTATAGTTGTCTCACTGAAGATCAGCTCCCTGTCCACGTGCATCTCTCCTGATGGGGCTCTAGGGCAGCAGCTCTGTTTTGGAGGAGCAGGGGCGTACCACTTCGCCTTGGCTAGGGAGCTGTAGTGGGGGATGTCTGTAACTCACTGCATTTTCAGTAGCAGCTGAAATGCCGAGTTCTTCCCTCCTCTGAAACACGGAAACGTCACTAGACAAAGCCATAGAGATGAAGCAACTTCCTGACGTTCATACAGGGAGACAAGAGCAGAGGCAGGGATAGCCTGCAGAAACCATGTCTGCACCTGGATGCCGATCCTCCTCCCCCTGCCCCGCAGCAGAAGCAATTACACGGTCTGTCTGAACGGTACAGGAGCGACATTTTCTCTACAGCCTGGAGTTTATGTACTTCTGCTTGTAAAGTCATCCGGCAAACGTGGATCCTTGCTTAGCCGATCATTTCACTTTGCAGCATCGAAGCTTTGTGCTGGGGCAGAGCCAGCACCTTCGGTTTGGCTGAGCCCAGGGAGGGGACAGGCCTCCTTTCCAGAGAGGTACCCCTCAAATGGCTCTGGTATCCAGCGCATCCCTGATTGCAGGGGGGATTCTTGTGGCCTTGAAACATATTGTCCCCTTCAGAAATCAATGGCATCTTTCTGCTATGCCATACACATATACACATTTTAAACATATACAGAGAAAGAGAAGTTGGGTCTCCGGCTCCAACCTCCTGTTCACTATAAATAAAATAAAAAAGAAACATACCCCCAGCCTGGGGTGCTCTGTGCTTCCCTGAGCAGAGCAGCTTTCACCCTGGGTGCTGGGTTTTCCTTTGGTCTCAGGCGATAGCAGCAAGCTGGAAGTGATGCCAAATATGAGCTGGCTCTGAAGAGCAGAACAAGCCACGGCATGAACTACAGCCAGAGCAGACAGGGGAGGCGAAGGTGCTCACAAGCAGCAGAGCAGTTGATGTGGCCATTGAGGCCACCAGAGGGGACATCTTCAAGGCAGCTCTGCAAAGTTGCACTGAAATAAAAGCCCTGCCTTGCTCTGCCTTATGCCAAACCCATGCATGCACAGGTGATGCTGTTGACCTCTTTGAAGGATTTGCTGCCTTTCTGGGGGAAGGTTAAGCGGATCTGTTGGTCTCTGTTTGCAGAGATGCAGTCAAGGGGAGGTGCTTTTAGGGTCCAAATGCAGCTGACCACCTCCCAGGGGCAACGCCTGTGCATACAGAGGGGGTGTGAGTGGGACAGGACCTTGGCTTGTGGCTTTTTTTTTTTTCCCAAGGGTTTTAAATATGTTCTTTGAAAACCAATACTGAAGTGTAACCGCTCAGACCAGAGCATTTCATACGTGAAAGCTCAGCAACCTCAGCTTTTCAGCCCTCCTCAAGTGCAAGTACCGCCTCAATACAAGATGAAAGCCCTCTACTGGATCTGTTTTCTTCCCGCCCTCTCCTTGCAGGTTGGCATGGCAGGGCAGCATTGTGGGGATGGGTTTTGCTAGAGGAAAAATCCTCTCAGTTCCCACCAACCCGCTGCTTCTGAAGAAGGTGTCTGCCATGGGAATATACAGAGTCAGTACCAAAAAGAGGAACTCCCCCATTTTTTTCCTCTATCTCCTGCATTCCCTAGTATTGCTGGGAGAGAAATATTCATCCTCATCTGAGAGCTCTCTTCACACTGGGAGAGGTGAGTATGGAGCAGATTCCTCAGGATTATTTTAGCAAAGCTCTTTTTTTTTGTAGGTAGAAACATGGTTTTGTGCAGTTAGGCCCCTGGCACAGAAGCCTCCAGACTCCTGCTTCTCTAAGAAACAAAAATATTGTCAAGAAATCCCACTTTCTCTTCACCTTATTTAAACTTCTTTCACTGGGTTTGAGCCAGGGAGTTTTTAACTTCTGGTTCGGTATGGCAAGGCCAGAACTGCAATGTGCTCAATGTCAAAGTTACATAAAACTGCTCAGTCCCATACCAAAGAGTTTGTGGTCTTAAAGAATAATGTTCTGGGATAACGTTTGAGAAGTGGATTAGTGGACCCTGATGTGCCTTCATTTGCATTTTCCCCCTGAGCAACTCTGAAAGTGTTAAAAATGCTTTTTTTCCCCCTGATTTGATAGTACTTTAATTCTTAAATAATGGCTCAGGTCCTCAAGACTATTTATGTAGTCACCATCCAGCACACTCAGTGATGTAAGGCAGAAGAATACCCAGGAGCTTCTCTGATCCTCAGTTATTTAAATCCCAGCAGCGGATACCAGGGATGGACAGCCTGGACTCAGACACAGACTTCTCACACACATCCTTGTCCTGCCCCTTCCTTCCCTGAAAAGCCCTGCCCTGGTGGCCATCACCATACCTGGGGCTTTGTGTTTGCAAATAAGTGAAACCTTCAACCATGTGCTCCAGTGCAAGTCCCAGGAAAGGTCATCATCTTCTCCATGATGTACATGTGCTGTTTCCCTGGGACTCAGCCAGAGGAGGAGACTCTCCAAGCTCCCACCCCAACAGCAGACAAGCCAAATGAGTCAGGGACACAGCTTAGGGTGGCTTAAGAAGTTGCTGTATGTCAGCTGAACAGGGGTGGCTGTTGATGGCTGTGTGCTTTTAGCCTGGCCCCTTTCTTGGCTTCAACCACCAGCTGAAAAGGCTCCTGCCAAGGCTCAGAGCTCTGCAGCAAGAGGGGGAACCTTTGCAACCACTGCTCAGTTGTGTGGCTGATGCTTCATGCCTTCGCACAGCCCAGGGGACCCCCACAACATTGGTGTTACCAGGGACTTCTTGCATGACTGTACTTGTGTGTGGTATAATAAATCAGAGGATCCCCCAGATTACCTTGTGAATGTCGTGTATCTCCGCAGCTGCAGGAACAGTAATTTTGAGAAGGTTGCCTGGCCTCCCAAAATCTTGAGTAAATTTACATAGCACTCAAAATCTGCCCAGCTCAAAATCTTCTCAGTGGTAGAGTCACAGATATAGTCCAGATGCAAGCTGACTTCTTACACAGCTTGTCCAGCCCTATAGGTAGGCTATGGGCCATTTCTCCCGTATTGATGACACCCTAATATCCTGGGTTGGCTGTCGTTATTGGTTATGGGAGCAGAGGAAAGTAGCTCACTTCCAGCTTCTTTTTACATCTTTTGAGCTGTAGAAAGAATAACTGAGGCTAACTGGGGTCCCAGCGATCCCCATTTGGGAGCCACTGCCATGGGACATCAGAGCAGTGCCCCACCAGGCACCTGATAAGCAGCTTGACAGACAGGTCTGATCTGAAATGAGGACCAAAACAAGAAATACATGGGTGGAGAGGCAAAGATTTGCATGTATGTTTTGGAAGGGGAATGAAGCCACTGGCCCATCCTGCCTCCAGCAGCGACCAGCAAGGAAGGCAGGCTGATCTCCTGCCTTCCCTCCCCCTTGCCCACCCACATTCCCAGTCATTTCTGCCTGGGGAGAAGGAATGTGCTCTTGACCCTCTCTCAGTCCACCTTGCTCCCAGGAGGGGCGATTACAGATACCATTACTTTTGTAAGCAGCGCTGCAAACAAAAGGAGCCTGAAACTCTGGTAACAAGCTGGCTGTACTCTTTGAAGCTTAACATGAGAGACTTGAGCTACAATGGACTGTGGAGGCACAATAGTCAAACCATTTCATCTGACAATACGTAAATTTGTCTGTGCTGTGCCCTGCTGTTCCAGCGTTGCATAGACTTTAGCTACATAAGCCGCTCCAGCGTTGCCTCCGATTACAAAGTGCTTCCTCTGCTGCAATAGCCCTCCTGGCTTTCTTAGCGTGCCTTTATTACGGCAGCAACTCCAGTCCTGCTTTGCAGTGCCTTAGACCCCAGAGGAAGTTATTTAACTCTCATCCATCCTTTAAAAGCTTTGCAAATTCATCACGTTATGCACAGCTTCTCACTGCAGAAGAAAAGAAGTGGGTTTTTTAGCTTATTTCACTGGTAATAGCAGAAAATGGTCTATTGCAGCAAAGAATTTATCCAAATAAGCTGTGAGCTGTAGCTGTCCTGTAGATAACATCCAGCTCATTTTAGTGTCCTGGAAGCACTCTACAAGTATCCACTATTGGAGCATCATTGTGCTTTAGGCAAATGTGCTGCTTGAAGATAGCTGTCAGCAAAGACCACTGAACAACGGTTTCATTTTATATGTTCAAGCTGCTCCCTAAATGATTGACAACACCTGAAGTTAGTGGTCTGATTGTAGTAAAGTAGTTAGCGTGATAGTGGAAGAGCAGGACCCTTACCCTCTTGCACCCACTGAGCGTCCAGCAATGTTTAAGGACATAAAGTCACACATTACATCTAGGTTACTGCATTTATCAGCCTTCAATCATCATCCTTCCATCAGCTGGCTTTGTTGAAGTAATATCTTCAGTGTCCAGGTCACACCATGGGGGGTCCACAATGTAGTTACATACTACAGATACAGAAAACCTAAACAAATTGATTTTAAGTCTAACAGTATTTTTTATATTATTTCTGCTACAGCAAGTCCTGAAGAAACAAGCCCCTCATTACTAAGTGCTGCTTACCTCTGCCACATCTTTTCTTGATCCTGTAGAAGAGGCTCCAGGTCTTCAGAGACTCCCACACCTTACAGCCCTATCAACAATACAGAATCATAGAATTGTTTAGGTTGGAAAAGACCTTTAAGATCATCAAGTCCAACCATTAACCTAACCCTGCCATCCCACCACTAAATCATATTCTTAAACACCTCATCTACCTGTCTTTTAAATACCTCCAGGGATGGTGACTTTTTTTTTTTTAGAACACAAACACAGTCCCCCACTAGCACAAATTATGCAGTCAAGTTTCCTGTATTTGGGGAAATCACAGGGGTCAGCACACCCAGAGTACAGGGATAAGCCTTGCCCTGGGAAAACCACTTTCCTGATCATGGTGTTTCCCGTGCCAGGTAAGTATATTGAAGCCTTTCAAAGGCTTCTGCTTTTTGTTCACAAATAGTTATTTCAGGCAAAGTAGTTGAATACCTTTGTTACCTCGTGACTGTGGAACACATTTCAGGCTTTTAGGTCACTACTTCTTAACCTGATGCCCAGCTTCAACAACTGTTCCACTCCAGCACTTCCTCCTTCATCAGCCAGCCCCACAGCAGAAACCCACCCTCTCCTGCTCTACCTTTCCATAAGCCCCTGCTGTGCCTCAAAAAGCTTTACTGACCCTGACTGGCCTCACCTGAGCATCCCCACCCATGGGCCTGGGGCCCTATATAAGGTCAGCCTGGGGCTTCTCTTCTTTTCTAAACTGTGCTTGTAGGAAAACCCCTCTCTAGCTTAATATAGCCAGGCTGGCCTTAGATGCTGCTGCTTTCTAGACTCAGCCAAGCATGTCTGACCTGAGTACTTTCTCTAGACCTGATTTTGCCCTGTGGACTACCTTATCAGCTAGGCTTTAGATCTACCTCATCCTTGCAGAGGTGCCTGATACCTGGACCTGGGGTCTTTTACTGCTCTTCAGGTCCTCCAACCCCTAGTGGAGGTAAAACTTCCTTTGCTACTTGTTTTTCTATCTTAGTGTTAGCAGTTGACTGTTTGTCATTCTTGTTGGAGGTCTTCCACCATCCCAGTGGTTCCTGTGTGCTGTCTTTCCTGGAGCAGCACTGTTTGCTTATCCCAGTGTCTTCCCTTTGCAGCAGGAGCTGTGGTAGTGCTGGGCTGTCCCTTGCTTTGGCTCTGTGGGGCCTGCTGCCCCCCTCCCCCTCCACTGCACCCACACCTGGGCGGTGGGAGACACCCTGGGACTCATTTCCCAGGTGACCTCCTGCAGCCTAGTCCTGGCACCCTGTGCTGAACCTCCCGGGTGCTGTGAGAAGGTTGTGCATCCCACCCCAGACTTTACTCAGCTGAGCCGAGCATACGGGTGTTGGTAAGCTTGTCAGCTGCAATGGTGGGTATCTGCTACTGCTTGCTGAGTAATTTGTTGTTGCCTTCTCCTGAATAGATGCTCATTGGCCTCATGCTGGGGTAGCTGAACGGTTTGGGAAAGGAGCATGCTGTTAGCCAGGGTGTATCACAGCGCTGCTAGGTAGAGTTAAGTCGGGGGGGGGGGAAATTGCAACTACCCACAGGGTGTTGCCTTCCTCAGGAACCGTGAAGGATTTCTTCAGCTCTTCAAAATGTCTGGAGTTTTAGTACTTACAATCAGCAAAAATTGGAGTGGAATATCAACAGAGCACAGCTTTCAAAAACTCATTTTCTTTTTCCTTTCAAGCTGACAATAGGATTTTAAGAAAAACTTTGAATAATGGATACACTTTTGAATAATGGATGTTTCACAGCCAAAGTCCCTTGACTTTTCTCTCTGTGCCTGAATGAGAAGCCTTTTAATTGCACAACACGTGGAGAGGAGGTACAAAATGCTTTGTGTCTTGTGCTGCTGATTAACTGATGCGTACGCTCCCATTAAACATTCAGAGATGGATAAGTGTATCCCAGCCCGAAGCTGTATGTTATGCACATTGGTTTTTTTATCAGCTAAGGATCTGGCACAAGATGTTTTGCATTTTTCCTTGTCTCTGTCATGGCTGCTCATAATTTTCCTCTTTTTTTTTTTTTTTTTTTTTTTTTTTTTTGTGGGTTGGATCTTTCTCGCTTCTAGGGCGTTGTTCCACATGAAGAGCTTGCACCTTATTCATGCTCTGGGCTCATGCGATGTGGTGCGAGGTCACCTTGCGAAGCGAAGAATCCTCCTGAGCTTAGACCATGGAGCAAACTTTTAAATAGGATTTTCCAAAATAGCAGTGCTTATTGCAGGGGTTTTGCTGAGAGACAGTTGTATGGCATGAGACAGTTGTCCTGGTGTCTGTGCCAGGCTGGATGCTGTGCTATGGTGTGATGGTGAATCTGCAACGCAGGGAGGAATCAGAGCCCCCTGCAAATTAGCTGCGTGGGACATGGGGAGGGGAATTAGCCAGCACAGCAGTGGTACAGGTCTTCCCATCTCTTATTCTAGCACGCTGCTCTCTGTCCCCAGCACTGGCTCTTCTCCAAGTTAATTCAGCTGTCATGAAAGTTTAACTTTGCTGCAGAAGGGAAAAGACAAGTCGCTATGCCCCTGAAAAATGTAAAAGGTGGGTTTGGGGTCAACGTTGTTTTTTGTGCTCAATCTCTGTCCTCAGTTTCCCCAGTCCCTGGTGAGGTGCCCAGCATTTTGAGTGAGCCCAGATGGGCTCAGCCAAGCGAAACCCTGCTGTGTTAGTACTTCTCTAACTTTTGTCTGCACAAAAAGCCCTTAAAATGAGAAGCTATGATCCCATCAGCCCCCTGGTTTTCTTTCCAAGCACAAATCCAGTCCAGGGACTGAGCCTCAATGTATTAAACACTGCTGGTGGGGACCTGAGGCTCAGGTTATACAGAGAAACCCTGAGAGTTCAGAACAGTTTTAACTCTTGCCATTAGACCATGGAAGTACCCACAGAGGCAGCTTGCTGGGTGGCACAGAGGGTCCCCTGGGCTCCCTTGTATCAGACTTTTCTTTTTCGCTTAGAGGTTTTTGGCGATCCTTGCCCCTGCACACCATGGGAGGCTGCTGGCCAGATCTCTAGCTTTAAACAGAGCTCGTTCTCTCTCAATTTTGCAGCTTCTTGCCTTAGAGGACAACTGCAATTTAGTTTTATTTCGCAAAATTTGACGTGACTTGAGACTATGATTTACTGGCCTTGAAGGATATGGTATATGTAACCGTGGAGGGCGTAAGTGGCTTTTCGTGGTAGAGGAGTCATAAATTGAGATGAAAAAAAATGAGGGAAACATTACTGTCCGACTTTACAAGGTAGCACTAAGAACAGGACACAGCGAAGCCATCTGTAACTGTCAAGGGTCTTTATTGTTCCTGATTGTGTGTAATAAAGCTCCTGAACGAGACCCATGGTCTCAAATCTGAAGGCAACCAATGTTCAAGTGCCTGAAAAGACACAAGATGGCAATCTTTTCAAAAGGACACCCTGGAATACCTCAGAGCTAAAGATTTCCAAGCTATCAGCTTTTCTCTCTCTGGCACTCTCTGGAGACCCTGGGAAAAGAGTCTGGGTCCAGGTCCCTCTGTGGCCACCAGAAAATGAGCCTGAAGGTACGTGGGGCGAGGAGGAGATCTCTGAGGGCATTGGCACAAGCAGGGCTGGCAGACCCAGCCATGTGGTCTGATCCAGACACGAGCTCAGCATCCCTCCCCTGCTCATTCGTGGCACCTATGCCACGAGATGCAGCAGTTGTAGCTGTGATGTTTCTTCTGGGGCTTATTGGCATTTGCATCCCCCTCTTTGCCTTCTGTCCCCTCCATATTTTCCAACAGACACAGATCCAGAGGGACATTTCATATAGCGAAGATATTTTAAATGAGAAAGAATAACCTCCTCTTGTTTTTTTGTTTTGTGTGGTTTGGTTTTTTTTTTCCTTAATTCCACAAAGAATAGCTTCAGAATTCATCTCACTTAAAAATTAATTTTCCCCGGTTGAGCAGGGGGTGGTGTGGGGCGGGTGGAGGAATTACCTCTGCTTGGTTTTCATCGTTTGCCCAGTGAATATTTCCAGGCATCTTGGTTTTATATGTTAATTTTCAGCTTAAAGGTTGTAACGCATTGCAATGTGGCAAGGCGACAGGGGCGGTGTGACAGTTTCCAGGCTGCTTGTGCTCGTTTTATCTGCAAATGGTTGAATTTGCAATGTGTAATGATCTCTGTAAGGCAGTTAGCAGCGAGATAAACATCAATTTTATGGCTGGGAAAACATAAGGGGTGTTGCACAGAAAAACGAGAGGACCTGCATACTGAGAGCTCTCTGACCTCCTCAATGCAGTTGGGTTTAGCTGTTGTGTCATCGCTGGCCTTTGTGCATCCCAATTCCTCCCCGTGGCGGGTCAAGCCGGGCAAGATGCTGAGGCAGAGCCTGCCACGGTGGGATGCAGGAGCAGCACCTCCTTTCCTTTCGGGGTGGGGATGCAAGTAGCGAGGACTTAGTATTCACAGCCAAGAGTTAAGAGGTTTTGCTGAAGTGGGAATGAAGCAAGGCAAAGACTTCAAAGTTTTTGGGGGGCTTGCTTTGTAATAGGAGCTCATGCAGGAGGCTGGAGCTCTGCTGCAGCCAGAGCGGGGACTTGTACAGCACTTTGCACAGATGTGCTTTGATTTCCACAAATAATAGCTTTTTGCAGCTCTGCTTCCTCATTGGATACGACATGGGGTGTAAAATGCTTTTTCTTAATTTGCTGTGTGCTGAATGCCTTTGGAATGCAATTAATATTCTCGCCTAAGTCTCAGAAAAATTAATAGGCATGTCTGGATGTTGCTAAACGTGACGGTGTATGTGCGGGGGGTGGTGGTGGGAGGGACAGCTCAGTCCCTCGAAGCTGGAAGCAACGCATTGTGAGGAAGAAAGGTGCAAAACCATTGGTGAAAACATAAGCGTGCAAACTGGCTATGGGGCGAAGTTGTGCAGTGGTGCCATGCTGGCTGAATCAATTCCACGCGATGGTGCTGATGCAGCGGCTGTGGGTGGGAGCAGACCTATCCCAGCTGCTCTGGGAGCCACCACCATCCTCCCACTGGGATGTCCCTGGACTGGGAAGGCCCCAAGTACCACCTCCAGCTGGAGCAGGGGGTCTTGCCACTCCTTCCCTGTAAGTCTGGCGGGAGTGATCAAGCTAATTAGTTAATTAGCTGCCATTGAGACTGATGGAGGATGAGGACTCTCCCCATGCTGGTGCAGGTGCTCAGCCTGCCTGGGAACCTGAGCTCTCAGGTTTCCTGGGGGGTTTTAATTTTCTTAGTCTGTGTGTTACATGTAATACGCCATCAAACATCTCCAATGCTGGCAGCATGATCAGGGCTGGTGTTCTCACGGTAAAGAATATTTAGGATGAGTTTTCACGTTTTATGTAGCTCATTTAGTACTTGCATTTCTGCCACG